TGGGTGTGCCGGCGCTATTATTCCGTGAAACGCAGGTCCAAGTATCGCCACATTCCGAACGAAAAATTACACTGAAAATGGCACAACGCCGAAACAGGTTTGTCTCCAAACCAAATTTTACAAGGGATGATGGAAAATCGTTCCACATTACAGGCAAATGATGAAATGCCAAACAAAAGCGACAAAAAGACCAGCAAGCAGCAGCAGCGTAACAACAAGACAAGCAAAACCATCAATCAGCAAACTGTCGGTACAAGGGGTACAAATGTCACACCTATGGCAAAGTTGGTCACATGGCTTCCATATGCCGTAAAAAGGATAAGAATATAAACTTCCTTTCCAGAAATAGTTCTTGTGAATTAAATGATTTATGTAACACTTATATTTATAGCATTACTAACACAAATTCGGGTGGTAGGTACGTTCTGTCTGTCACAATCGACGGAGAGAGCAGAGGTGTAGTTTGCGACAAGGGTGCACTTTGTACGCTAGTTCCTGCATCATTCTATAATGAGCTTAGGCACAAGGACCCGCTCAAACCATGCGAAACTAAATATATGGATTACAATGGCGCTGATATTCAGTTGCTGGATGAGTATGATGCAAATATTACGTACGAAGGGACCACTAAGCAAATAGTAGTAGTTGTATCTAGAACTAAAAGGCCGCCTTTGCTGGGCCGAGTTTTTTACGCGCATTCAATTTCAAGTTAATGCAAGTGAATGCAATTAGAGAAGAAGGTGTGCACTCTGTAATCACTGAACAAATCAAATGCGAGTTTTCAAGTGTTTTTAGCAGCCGATTAGGACATTACAAAAATTGTGAAATTAGCTTACCAATAGAAGGAAGCAGTAAACCAATATTTTTCAAACCACGTCCATTGCCATTAGCGTGGAAAGACAGAGTTGAAAAACAACTTCGCTGTCTGGTAAATGGCGATGTTATTGAACCAATTGATAATGCGGATTGGGGAACTCCATTGGTACCCATTTTAAAACCCAATGGAGATCTCCGATTAAGTGGTGACTACAAGGTAACCATAAACAAGTACCTAAAAGATTTTAAGTACCCGTTACCACGGATTGAAGAGATTTTTGCGGCTTTACAGGGTGGTGAGTTATTCACCAAACTAGACATGTCGAATGCATATAACCAGTTGGTTCTCGACAAACAAGCTCAGCTTTTGTGCGCTTGGAGCACACATATTGGCACGTTCAAATTAAAACAACTACCTTTTGGTGTAAAGACAGCTGCTGCTATTTTCCAAAAGACAATGGAAAATTTATTGCGAGAAATACCGTCAGTGGTCGTGTATCTAGATGACATCACTGTCACTGGTAAGAACTTAAAAGTTCATATTCTGAATCTTAAGGCGGTTTTGAAAAAGTTAAGTTTAGCTGGGTTTACATTAAATACCAACAAATGCAAGTTTTTTCAAGAGAAAATTGCATATCTTGGTTTCTTAATTGATAAAAATGGGTTAAGTAAGAACGAAGAACGAATTTCGTGCGTAAATAGGCACCGATCCCAAAAGATATTTCGGAGGTCAGAGCCTTCATCGGAATGGTTAATTACTATTCAAAATTTATTGACAATTTCGCGAAGAAAATTATGCCTTTATATGATTTGTTACAAAAAGGGAAAACGTTCAAGTGGTCGCAGAGTTGTCAAGAAGGTTATGAACGAATGAAACCTGAAGTCACATCTGGCCAAGTATTGGTCCACTTCGATCCAAAACTGCCAATTTTGTTGACAACGGACGCATGCAACAGTGCCATTGCGGGCGTTTTATCACATAAGTTCCCTGACCACACTGTGAAGCCAATTGCTTTTATATCGCGAGCGCTCACAAAAAGCGAAAGAAAGTATAGCGCTCTTGAAAACGAGGCATTGGCTATAGTGTACAGCGTAGTAAAACTTAAACAATACTTGTTAGGTAACGTGTTTACATTAAGGACTGACCACAAGCCACTCTTATCAATTTTCAGTGAGAGCAAAGGATTAACTGCTATGGCCTCTGCGCGCATGCAGAGATGGGCTTTGATTCTCTCCGGCTTTAACTATAAATTTGAGTATGTGAAGGGTAAATTAAACCATGCAGACACTTTGTCTAGAATGCCACAATTAGTAAACATTGAAAATTATGAAAACAACAGCTATATCTATTACAAAGAGAAAGAGAACTGCTTGAATTTAAATTTTAAAGACATTGCTCGTGAAACGAGACGTGATCCTACCTTGTCAAAGGTGAGTGATGCAATTCAACAAGGGGTCGTTTGTAACTTACGTGGGCA